CGACAGAGCAATTTTTACTTGAAACGCTACTGATTAAAATTTTTTTTTGCAATTTTTATGTATCCAAAAAATAATAATCATTATTTTACAATGTACTTACTAGAAAAATTTAAATATATTTTATCTAAATTGTGTAGAAAAAAACATATTTTAAGAATTTTAATCTGTATTTAACCCATAACAATAAATTTAAAAGCTCTACTTAATGATAACTCATGTTTGGAATTTTTAAGTCGATGAACTTTAAAACATACCAAACAACTGGAATTTAAATTTTCTTTTTCCATTAATATAGTTTATTAAATTTATCAAGAATATTTCATCTAAAAGCATAAAAATGATTTAATGAAATACTTAATATTAAATAACTTATAAGTTATTTTATTAAAAGGTGCAAAGTTTCAGAAATACTAAAAATGAAATTTGGAAGAATTTTCAATTAATAAAAAGCTTATATCCAAAGCACTGGTAAATGCTGCTTGTATCTGTAATAAAATATATTGTCAGGTCAGCTTTTAAGGACCTTCATATTGGTACTTCATATATTAAAACAATTTAATTCTATTTATCAACAATTAATTAATTAACAGTATTTGTTGCAAAATTCATTTCTATTGAATAATTGCTAAATTGCTTCAATGTAATTTGTTGAAGTTATTTCTCACTACCAACCAACACAAAAAAAAAAAAGGTTTAACAGTTATAAAAGTAATAGATGTTAACTGTGAACATAAATGTTTAAAAAATTAGCATAGAAACAATGTTTTTCTTACTAAAATAAACCATAAATATATGAGAAAAACTGTTTTCGCTTCTTTGTGTATTTCAGGAAAACTTTTCCCAAAGGGAAAAAACTGAAGAGAATGCAATTTAGAATAACGTTAGTAGATTCAATACTTCTAGTTCTAACAGATTAGTCTTTAGATATTTATAAATATAGGAAAAATGTTTGTAGAATCATTAACTCTGAAAGAGTAGCTAATAAAAAAATTTGTCTTTAAATTACAAATTTCTTGGATTATTGCAAAAATATATTTTTTAAATCTATTCTTTAAAAACTTTTTCTGCAAAATTTATAAAAATTCATATCTTATTGTTTTGAATTACAAAGAATAAAACAGATTAGTCATTTTTATACTTATGATTTAAAGTATTTTTAAAACTTTACAGGATGGAAAGTTACATAAATATATAAATAAATAAAATACATAAATAAATATTGATATATGTAGTATATAAGACTAACATGGTAAAAATTTTAAATTATTTAGTAACAGATTTCTCATTTTACAATATGACTTTAATTAAATCTCATAACATTAAGAATTGCTTATGTAAGATGAATAATCCAATAACTGAACAACCTTTAAAAATGCTTAATAAGCAAGTAAAGCAAGTATATTATATCATCTTTTATTGATTATTTTTATAATAATTATTAGTAGAAAAAATTTTAAAACATTATAATGAATTTTTTTACTAGTAAACAAACAAAAATTATTCTACATGTTCAACTTTTAGATGATGTAATAATTAGTTTGTTTTGTAACATTCAGAACCAAACACAGAGATTATATGATCAACTTCAACTTGAACAATTTGGAGCTGATTTGGAATGTTTTTGGCTAATTAGCATATGTGAAGGACAGGAAGTGGTGTCTAATCCTGATAATCCAAGCTATCTAAAGTTTAGAAGTTTCTAAAGTTTCAGTATCCAATAGCAATGAGAGGCTTACATTACATATTAAAGACACTCCACACAAATATATTGGATATTAGCCTCTTAAGCATTTACATGTGGCTTGATGTTCAAATAAGCAACAAAAGCTTTCTGTTGCTATTAGATACTGAAACTTTCATATTATTAAAAGTAGTTAAGTCTAAGCTCCCTGATCTTTCACACAAATCTCTTCTTATTGCCATGTGCTAGCATTTTATTTTTAGTGTTCCCAAATAGTATATATTCTGATTTGGTTTCACAATTCCTAGAACATTAAAAGTTATTTACGTTTAGAAAATAAGATTGATTTTCAGTAAATTGTATATTAATTTAAATCAGTAATCATCTATAATTACTATTTACAAGAAATTTGTGTCAATAATTGGCTAAAATAGTCAAACTTTGGTTGGGAGTTTCAAAAATTTAAATATTTGCAATTACAGTAATCAGTTTTAATAAATTTCTAGACTCTTTTTACGTAAGAGTAAGTGTATTCTGTAATTATTATACTAACTAAAAGTTGTAAACTTAATAATAAATTTTCAATAAAATTGCTTAAAATTAAGTTTTATAAGTAATGTCGTTTGTATGCTTTTTAATTCTGTGTGACAAAAATTTAAAATAAAATTTTTTTTAAATACAGTAGAGCCTTGATTATCCGACTCAATTGGGGACTGGGGTTGGTTGGATAATTGAAAAGTCGGATAACTGAAAAGTATGAAAAAATCCATTATTAGTGTAGTATATCATTATATCCCATGTAATTAGTATATCGCTATTAACCTACTTCGCGTTGAATTTTCATCTATGTTAAGCCTAACAAAAATTTTTTAAAATAATAGTCGTCGCTATTGTATCGTTAAAAATTAGAAAATTAAGCCTCGTTTAAATACTGGCTCCCTTTCATGGTTGAATGAGCGTTGCCAGCTAAAAATAATATTAAAGTAGCCAAGACATAGCCAAATATTGTAGCGCCACATCACTAGCAGACATTTGAAATTTGCTGACTAGGACAGTCGGTTAACTGAGGTGTCGGTTAATCGGGGGTCGGATAATCGAGGCTCTACTGTATTCTGAACAACATTAAAATTCATTATTAATTAATGTAAGAGAAGAAATGGAACATTAAAAAAATTAATGCATAGTTCATACAAATCAGTTTAATCATTATTAACAACAACTGTTACTGTAAATACATGATACATAAGCAATATTGTATATTGTCGATGTTTCGTGTATATGCAATTTTATTTTATTATATAAATTATTAATACATACTGTCAACATATTGCATAGTTTTTCACGGTCAAGTACTAAGTTTGTATGGGTAATTCATAATTCTTATAAACAAAAATCTGCAAATTATAAATTTATATCAACACTATGTTAAAACATTTTATCTTAATTAATACAATAACAGCATAATTATATGGAATATTGCATTTGTTACTAGAAGGTTTAGTAAAAAGAAAAATAATTTTGATGAAAATCTCACTAAATGATCAATTATAAGCTGACTCATTTTACATTTGTTAAATTTCCATGAGATTGCATAAATATTTATAGATAAACCAACTTAATTTGAAAATAACAAATATAAAAATATATGTCCAACCATTTTGTAATTTATCCTATGTAATGGCTTACGCATATCATAATAAAGGATAAACGTATGGGGGAAAAGTTTAATTTCCTTTTGATCTATGCATCTCCTTGTCTGGGTGTAATAAGTCAGTTTAAAACATACCAAACAACTGGAATTTAAATTTTCTTTTTCCATTAATATAGTTTATTAAATTTATCAAGAATATTTCATCTAAAAGCATAAAAATGATTTAATGAAATACTTAATATTAAATAACTTATAAGTTATTTTATTAAAAGGTGCAAAGTTTCAGAAATACTAAAAATGAAATTTGGAAGAATTTTCAATTAATAAAAAGCTTATATCCAAAGCACTGGTAAATGCTGCTTGTATCTGTAATAAAATATATTGTCAGGTCAGCTTTTAAGGACCTTCATATTGGTACTTCATATATTAAAACAATTTAATTCTATTTATCAACAATTAATTAATTAACAGTATTTGTTGCAAAATTCATTTCTATTGAATAATTGCTAAATTGCTTCAATGTAATTTGTTGAAGTTATTTCTCACTACCAACCAACACAAAAAAAAAAAAGGTTTAACAGTTATAAAAGTAATAGATGTTAACTGTGAACATAAATGTTTAAAAAATTAGCATAGAAACAATGTTTTTCTTACTAAAATAAACCATAAATATATGACAAAAACTGTTTTCGCTTCTTTGTGTATTTCAGGAAAACTTTTCCCAAAGGGAAAAAACTGAAGAGAATGCAATTTAGAATAACGTTAGTAGATTCAATACTTCTAGTTCTAACAGATTAGTCTTTAGATATTTATAAATATAGGAAAAATGTTTGTAGAATCATTAACTCTGAAAGAGTAGCTAATAAAAAAATTTGTCTTTAAATTACAAATTTCTTGGATTATTGCAAAAATATATTTTTTAAATCTATTCTTTAAAAACTTTTTCTGCAAAATTTATAAAAATTCATATCTTATTGTTTTGAATTACAAAGAATAAAACAGATTAGTCATTTTTATACTTATGATTTAAAGTATTTTTAAAACTTTACAGGATGGAAAGTTACATAAATATATAAATAAATAAAATACATAAATAAATATTGATATATGTAGTATATAAGACTAACATGGTAAAAATTTTAAATTATTTAGTAACAGATTTCTCATTTTACAATATGACTTTAATTAAATCTCATAACATTAAGAATTGCTTATGTAAGATGAATAATCCAATAACTGAACAACCTTTAAAAATGCTTAATNAGATGCTCCTTACATTTTTCTCAACTTGTTCTCTGACTTGATCGAGATCGCCGTTTTTCAAGCTCCATAAAAAGTCGCTCATTTTTTACCTTTGGTGTCAATGAACGAAACACGAGACTTTCTGTTGACTAATTATCCACCGCAATTGCTTCAATTATTGAAGTTTTAACAGGAAAGACATACAATTGCAAAACTTTTCAATAGTTACACACAGCCAATAACCTACCTACACGCCCCCTGTTCGTTATAGAAAAAAACAGTACATACAATTATAAAATATTTTACAATATGACTTTAATTAAATCTCATAACATTAAGAATTGCTTATGTAAGATGAATAATCCAATAACTGAACAACCTTTAAAAATGCTTAATAAGCAAGTAAAGCAAGTATATTATATCATCTTTTATTGATTATTTTTATAATAATTATTAGTAGAAAAAATTTTAAAACATTATAATGAATTTTTTTACTAGTAAACAAACAAAAATTATTCTACATGTTCAACTTTTAGATGATGTAATAATTAGTTTGTTTTGTAACATTCAGAACCAAACACAGAGATTATATGATCAACTTCAACTTGAACAATTTGGAGCTGATTTGGAATGTTTTTGGCTAATTAGCATATGTGAAGGACAGGAAGTGGTGTCTAATCCTGATAATCCAAGCTATCTAAAGTTTAGAAGTTTCTAAAGTTTCAGTATCCAATAGCAATGAGAGGCTTACATTACATATTAAAGACACTCCACACAAATATATTGGATATTAGCCTCTTAAGCATTTACATGTGGCTTGATGTTCAAATAAGCAACAAAAGCTTTCTGTTGCTATTAGATACTGAAACTTTCATATTATTAAAAGTAGTTAAGTCTAAGCTCCCTGATCTTTCACACAAATCTCTTCTTATTGCCATGTGCTAGCATTTTATTTTTAGTGTTCCCAAATAGTATATATTCTGATTTGGTTTCACAATTCCTAGAACATTAAAAGTTATTTACGTTTAGAAAATAAGATTGATTTTCAGTAAATTGTATATTAATTTAAATCAGTAATCATCTATAATTACTATTTACAAGAAATTTGTGTCAATAATTGGCTAAAATAGTCAAACTTTGGTTGGGAGTTTCAAAAATTTAAATATTTGCAATTACAGTAATCAGTTTTAATAAATTTCTAGACTCTTTTTACGTAAGAGTAAGTGTATTCTGTAATTATTATACTAACTAAAAGTTGTAAACTTAATAATAAATTTTCAATAAAATTGCTTAAAATTAAGTTTTATAAGTAATGTCGTTTGTATGCTTTTTAATTCTGTGTGACAAAAATTTAAAATAAAATTTTTTTTAAATACAGTAGAGCCTTGATTATCCGACTCAATTGGGGACTGGGGTTGGTTGGATAATTGAAAAGTCGGATAACTGAAAAGTATGAAAAAATCCATTATTAGTGTAGTATATCATTATATCCCATGTAATTAGTATATCGCTATTAACCTACTTCGCGTTGAATTTTCATCTATGTTAAGCCTAACAAAAATTTTTTAAAATAATAGTCGTCGCTATTGTATCGTTAAAAATTAGAAAATTAAGCCTCGTTTAAATACTGGCTCCCTTTCATGGTTGAATGAGCGTTGCCAGCTAAAAATAATATTAAAGTAGCCAAGACATAGCCAAATATTGTAGCGCCACATCACTAGCAGACATTTGAAATTTGCTGACTAGGACAGTCGGTTAACTGAGGTGTCGGTTAATCGGGGGTCGGATAATCGAGGCTCTACTGTATTCTGAACAACATTAAAATTCATTATTAATTAATGTAAGAGAAGAAATGGAACATTAAAAAAATTAATGCATAGTTCATACAAATCAGTTTAATCATTATTAACAACAACTGTTACTGTAAATACATGATACATAAGCAATATTGTATATTGTCGATGTTTCGTGTATATGCAATTTTATTTTATTATATAAATTATTAATACATACTGTCAACATATTGCATAGTTTTTCACGGTCAAGTACTAAGTTTGTATGGGTAATTCATAATTCTTATAAACAAAAATCTGCAAATTATAAATTTATATCAACACTATGTTAAAACATTTTATCTTAATTAATACAATAACAGCATAATTATATGGAATATTGCATTTGTTACTAGAAGGTTTAGTAAAAAGAAAAATAATTTTGATGAAAATCTCACTAAATGATCAATTATAAGCTGACTCATTTTACATTTGTTAAATTTCCATGAGATTGCATAAATATTTATAGATAAACCAACTTAATTTGAAAATAACAAATATAAAAATATATGTCCAACCATTTTGTAATTTATCCTATGTAATGGCTTACGCATATCATAATAAAGGATAAACGTATGGGGGAAAAGTTTAATTTCCTTTTGATCTATGCATCTCCTTGTCTGGGTGTAATAAGTCAGATATTAAGTGGTGGTCACAATACATATAAAGTATTTTTGATACACTCAAATTTAATTGTTCTGGAATAAAAAAAAAATCTAAAATCATAAATTTTTTATTGTATCCAAAATTTATATTTCAAGGATATAATTACTACCTTAATTTTATATAAAGATACCTGAATGGACTTGAAAAATTAATTTATTTGAACCTATGTCAAATATTTTTTATATAAACTTGCTTTATACAAAAAAAGGACTTATTTAATACAAAAATAACTTTACTTTTCAAATATTAATTAAAAAGCCTTTTAAATAATAATTTTAAAAACTTCTGCGAATCAAAGAAGTACATTTACACTCACGCATATTTCAGTTCCTTTCTGACTCACGACATAGAGGGAAGGATATCACTCCAATTACTCAATTATGATTAAAGCAAACTAAGAATAATTAAAGATCACCAATTATACTAGTACAATAAACATTGAAGTACAAATTATTACACTTAATCATCTAGGAATAATTAGTAATTATCATCTGTATCATATTATGCTTAATATTAAAATATAAAATACTTCTGTTTCTTTTTAGTTTATGTTAAATAACTCAGTTGATACTGACATAAAGCATTGAATTTTTGCCAAAATGTGTTTCATAAGTGGTTCTCAGCCAGGTGATCCCCAAGCATTTCTGTATATATACAGAAAAGCTTCTAAAAATATATCATAACGGTTTTAAATTATTGAAAAAAATTACAAAATTCTTCTTTTACGTTTTTATGGTGGATTTCAGTAGCTGAAATAAATCATCTGATACATAAAAGGATATAATTGATCTTGAACAAATCTTAAAGTATTATTAGCAATATGAATCACATCCTTCCAGTTAATTTACGGAAGATAAATGCAAGTAAAATGAGTTAATAAAAGAAAAGATGCTCCTTACATTTTTCTCAACTTGTTCTCTGACTTGATCGAGATCGCCGTTTTTCAAGCTCCATAAAAAGTCGCTCATTTTTTACCTTTGGTGTCAATGAACGAAACACGAGACTTTCTGTTGACTAATTATCCACCGCAATTGCTTCAATTATTGAAGTTTTAACAGGAAAGACATACAATTGCAAAACTTTTCACTAGTTACACACAGCCAATAACCTACCTACACGCCCCCTGTTCGTTATAGAAAAAAACAGTACATACAATTATAAAATTTTTAGTTTGATTTTTATAATTATTATTAAAATTTTAATTCGATGAATATTTTTAATGTTTATTTTTTATTAGAAATATTAATAATACTTATAAAATCAAATTTATTACTGCTTAATAAACGAATAAGTTTTCGGATTTTTCATTCCCCGACACATTCAATTTGGAGTTATTAGACAGAAATTCGCGGATCGCTGCGAAACGAATTTAATCTTCACCTTATAATTTTATTGGTATTCTTTACGCTAGAAAGATCTTTCCGCTTGACCACCAAGAGAGCCTTTTTTAGCAAGCCCATTACGGGTTTGGACAGGACACAATGGGATGGGGTTTGACGTATCCGGGACAGTCATTCCCCCGAAAAACTCCTAAGAAGTTATATGTCCGAATTAAATCCCGGAAGGCCTCAGCCGTCCGTCCGGTAAAGATTCTACGGACGACTGAGGCCTTAACCGCCTCGGCCGTCCGTCTGTCTGTCAATGTTATAATTATTAATGACTACACTTACATTTTCCGTGAGTGATCTGCAAAGAAGGATGTATCCCGTAAAGACGTTTATGTGAAGTTGGCCCCAATTTAAGTGTTGCTAACGCGAAGAAAACCCGGAGAACTCTACTTGGCCAGTCCGTTGGCCATGCCCGAATCTACGAGGACTAACGGTGTTCGATGGTTTTGTCCATTCGGTTACTGAAGAATACTTATTGAACTGCAAACTGAAAAACAACTGTAGAGCCAGTGCCGGCCCGAGGCAAGTTTTAGGATGGAGCGAGATCCTATTATGGCGCCCCTTGGTTGCCCTAATTTATACCCTTTAATTTTCTTTACCACTGAGGCGCCCCCTCGGACTTAGCGCCTGGAGCGGTTGATCCGTTCGCCCTATGGTAGGGCCGGCTCTGTGTAGAGCTATAAATACCCGGTCGTCCGTCCGTCTCTGACCTTCCTTAATCCCAAAAACGTAATTAGATAGATGAAAGTCGAGACCAGACATGGAAATCGTAACAGAATAAAACCAGATTACCAATATATGAACTTCCGATTAGTACCGCACTTCACGTTATTTCAATACAAAACTTTTCTCCTAAACGAAGTTAGATACATAACCGGCATGGCTCTATTGCTAACGGAAAAAGTATGATGTACTTTTGGGCAAAACACTATTACACGACTGGTGATGACAAAGAACAAAGTTTGTATCAAATTCATAGTTTTGGAATGATGGTTAATACCACAATGAGTTTATTTATCACAGTGTAAAAGAAGATTCAAACGTATAAATGTAAACAGACTTTATTTCGAATGTTCTTTGTCACGATTTTACTGATCGTGGATTTTTCACGATCAGTAAAAAAAATTCCAGCAACGAGTTGCGTAACTTTCCCAGCGAAAAACACTAGGACTCTAACAGAAAGTTGAAATTGTATGCCACCATCTGTATCATGAGATTTTATATTATTATTATAAAATGGCAAAAGGCTTAATTTTAAACAAGTTTTTAAAATATTGTAAATATCAATATTCATTAAGTCCGAGTAAATTTCAGGTCAAATAAAACTGGTCACTATAGGAAGGTGGTCGTGTCAACGAC